CATTCCATCACGTACATAAACAGTGTCGTAATTCGCCAAGTGCAAATCAGCAAATTCGTAAAATTTTTGTTTATTTTGAACAATCCGGATAATCGAAAATCCGGATAATGGAGGTCCGGATAATGGAGGTTCTACTGTATTTTCAAAATCAATGCATTGTATAGGTAGGTATTTAATAAATAAGTAACAAATATAATTTAAATAATTATTATATTAAACTCTTTCCCTATTTTACTTTGCCTTATTGCTGTAATATTATTTGAAAGTGTCGTGTTTTAATTTATTCGGATAATAAAACAAAAAAAGTGCAAATATATATTAATAATTTTCAACCAAATCGGATATTAGTACAAACTGTAAGAATTATTATTGCAAATTAATTTTAAATGAAGCAATGAATTGAACTGAGAAGTTTTCTAAATATGAAAACTTTTTCGTAAGAAATAAATTGAACAGTTTCCTAAATATTAAAATTATTTATAATCTTAATTTACTCGAAAAATTTCTGATCTGAAAATAATTTATTTACTGAAAAATTAATTTAAAAATTAATACGTGCAGAAATGTCTTGCTTTAGGTAAACTGAAGGAAAAAGTCGAAACACTCAAATAAACTGTAATGTAAAAATGAAAATCTTTTCAAAATAATTTCATTGTTATATTATTTCAAATTGTCATGTACCGGAATATCAAGACAAATATCTATCAAGAAAATAATTAATTCTAGTATTGATAATAAAACTATTACTCGACAAATTATTTGTAATCTTAATTTATTAGATATCAGAAATTAGAACAGGAATATGTCATGTTTTAAATAAAGTGAACGAAAAAACTGGAAAATCTTAAATAAAATAAACTTATTTAATATATTAATGTAAAAATAAAGAAAATTTAAAAAATAATTTCGTTTTGGTGTTATATTATTTCATACAATTGTCATGTCTTAATTTTCTCGGATATTATAAAATTTAATAATTAATACAGAAACTCTGGCTTATTGTTAAAATAAAATTAATTTGATTTAAATTTGTAATTAGAAAATTAATTTTGTGATGTGAAATAATTCTATTCGACGAATTTTTATTTGCAATCTTAATTTAATTTAAAAAAATTTTTGTAATTTTAATTTATTCAATAGTAATTTACTCGAAAAATTAATTTTGTTATTAGTATGGCCCAAACCTATTATATTAAACAATTATATATGTAAAGAGCATTAAAGGATGATTTTCATCAAATTGATTTGTCGTTTACTCAGAAGACAATTCTTACAAACTGTTTCTATTGAATTTTAATCTGAAATGATCAGTGTTATTTTAAAAGAGATCTGACTGAAACCAAGCTCATTGCACTTTCCTCTTGTCAGAATTACCTTTATTTGTTATTCTAAAGTTGTTTACTAATTCGGCCATTATAATACGTACACAAAATATACAGGTCGACAAGTGTACATTAAATATATTACTGTTTAAAAAATTATTTTAAACTTACGTTCTGGAATTTGCCGACGTCATTAGCTAGAAGATTTACCATTTGTCCCACATTTGATTTTTCCAGAGAAGAAGAACTTAACCTAATTGCCTGCATATGAAAATTTAATGTAAAATAAATATTTTTCGAAAAGTATATAAGATATTAAATATCATTTAAAAATACGAGTATAATTATCAGTAAATTCTGTAAAGTAACTAATAAATTACATTTTCTAATACTTGTTTACTCACGCAACTTGACAAAATTAATTTTATTACGCAAGAATGTATTATATAATGGATTAAATTTAGAAGTTGATATATTTTTTATTGAGATATTTGTTTCTATAAATTTGGATTTTTAAAATAACTCAACTTTTAGCACTCAAAACAATTTTTATTGTTAAAAATAATGGTTATAAAATTAAATTAATTGCACGCAGTACTTTTTCTAAGAAATTTGTTCATCATTCGTTGTATGTCTAAGGCACATGTATTTCAGTCACTTTTTACAACATTTTATGTATTTTTTCTTTTAATCTTCAACATAGAAAGCATCTCCTTTTTTAGAAATTCTTTTAATATCATTTGTTGTTGCTATTCCCTTTGATTTCGTTTGAACTGTCCCTGTTGAAATTGCTCTCACTTGATTGCATTCAAAGTCAAGTACTTTTTGTTCTAATACTGAATTGCTATGTAAACCTTGGAAATGTTCAGATCTGTATATCGTGTTGACCTGGCATAATAATTTGCCTAGACTCTTCAAAAACCTTTTGACCCTATTTACGTTTTGAATATTTTTTCGCCTACATTTTATTTGCCTCATAATAAACCACATACGAATTATAATCGACTAGATCAATCAAATTTAAAAAAAAAATAAAAAAACAGCCATTGGCCATTTTGTACCATGCCTACAACTGTATGTTCTTATACATTTGTCAAGTTTATCAACACTTGCTTTTTTTCAATTATAATAATTAAATACTTTTGTCTTTTCACTTTATAAATACATTATTAAATACATTTAATAAATACATTGCATACACTTTATATCTACTTCTATAGTGAGGACTGCAATTCCTCAAATAAAAGTAATATAATACTTCCACAAGAGCAACAATTCATCGCGCGGCATCAGATATTTTTTATAAAAACCACTACAATTACTGAATTTTTGTCAAATATACTCCATAGTATTCACAAACCGTAGTGAATAAAAGTAGAATAAAATTCAAATTCCAAAATTAATATTTGTCTTTAATATAAATATAGATGAGATGGGGTCACAAGATGACACTTCTAATCTGCATGTGATTGTTAAAGCAGGGTGTGTAATAGTTCTCAATATAGTTTTAAATATTTTACAAAAATCGTAAACTATTTAAAATTAATATACGTAATTAAACTAGTATTTAAATATATTCAGGCGTATATATCATAAAACCTATTAATTGATAATAACTATTGAATATTGCTTAATTGATTAATTGCTCTTATTATTTCTTCCAATGTATAGTCCGAAAAACATTCCTGTCTTATTGTAAGCACTTTATAACTATCCGTTGACAATTGACCATTATTCGAGACAAAATGACCTTTAGAGAATTTAACAGCATAAAAGTTTAGCCATCTTTCCAAAGTAATTTTTGAAATATATTCTTCTACCTCTAAACTAGTTGATTGTTTGCCAAAATGTTTTAGAGTTGTTACATGTCACCAGTCTTCTATTTAAGTTTCAAAAATAAAATTATTTTTTTTGACATAAACGTCTGTAGTCTTTCAAAATAATATTATAGAAACCATAATATTCATTTGTATATGACGTTATAACCTTTTTAAAGAACTTCCACAAATCTTTCCCCAAGATGTGACACTCATTATTATACATTTATTTGTTGCATGAGTTTTACCTGGTACAGGATTAACGTCGTAAATTAAGTCCAAAGAAGACATCGCTGCTTAAGCTCTACCTAGATCATCAGGTGTAAGAATTCTTCCATACTCATTTGACAGAACATTACCTAATTTAAGAGATAATTAAGATTTAACTTCATATGTGTACTGTACATTGCACGTTTACTTAAAAGTTGTCTGTTAAAAATGCGAAATGATACCAATCAGATAGGTTTTAATAAAACTGGTAAATATTCTGAGCTAATCTTTGTTAAAACATTTAAATTAATTACAACACTAAAATATATATTTTGTAATAGTATCACAAAATCAATTATACTGCCTCCTTTTGATGAGTGATAGGTAAAATTATTATTATTTTTTGTCTCCTGGCGACAAGCCATTTAAACACGCGAGACTTATTTTCACAAAATTTATATAGAATTTTCTTTCTGTCATTAACAATTATATCTTTTGAGGCTCTCGAAAAAGTTTTCCAGTTGCCAGTAAAAGTCCCATTCGAGCGTTAAAATTAGCGCATAAAATCAAGTTCATTTCAGGTAGCAGATAGTTTTCTATAAGCGATAACATGTTCTTAATATCTTCATCGAAATAGTTGTCAGGCGAAATATATAACACTATTTCTTAAATATTGATTGACTTCTCAATGTCCAATTGTAAAAACAAAAAAAAAATAGTAATTGAAATATAATTTCAACGTTAAAAACCGTGTCCAGTTAAAACCGCCATTGANCATGTTTTGTATCGTTTTAGTCTACGTGCCTTGGCTGCGAGTTTTTGTTTTAGTGTATCGATGTATTCTGTAATGTGTGTGTTGTGATGTTCATGTTTTGTGTGTGTTGTGATTTTCCTGTAAATGTTTTTAAGTTGTTATGATCTTTAATTTGGGTGTTATGTTGTTTTTAGTGTATTGTGTCAGCCTGCCTAATTGCTGTCTAATGTCATTTATTTGTGTTTCTATTTTTTTCTGCCAGGCAGGCTTGTGATAGAATTGTGTTTTGTGTGTGTCTGTTTGTGAGTGTATTTTCAGTCCATGGTATGTCACCACTGTGACTGCCCCAGCATAGACTAATGTATGAATGTCTGAGAGTGTAAAAATTAAATGGATGTAGTGTGGTAGTAAGTGTGTGTTTACATAATGTAGTGTTTTCCCTACTACCTTTGAAGTGTTGATTTTCGGTATTCGTGGTCTTTGTGTAGGATCCGTACCTGTATATTTAGTGAGTGTTTTCTGAAATATAAGTGAGAGCCTATTAACTAATTCTGTGTCTACGTTATCAGTGATGGATGAGAAAGTTCCTGTACTATCATTAGTGGTAGTTGTTGTGTGCGTGCTGTAATCAATGCTTGTTGCTGGATTATACTGATAGGTTACGTGATCTTCATTAATGTTAAATGTTTCTGTTTGTTAATGTATTTGATCAGCAACCTGTTGTTTGATAAGTTCAAGTGTTGTTTGTGGGATAAGGTGGTTGTGTATAATCGTTCTTTTTTGATCAACAACCCTTTGTTCGGTGACAGTGCGGTAAGGATATTGTTGTGTGAATCTATGGTGTAGTTGTTGTCTGTATGCTGTCATGTTTGTTTCGAGTTTTGTGATGGTGTAGGAAGTACGGATGATAAATTCGTTCATTTCTGATGTCCACTTTATTTGTTGGCGTGGTTTTCCAGCTTTTGTGGTCTGTGGATGCATTGCCAGAGAAACACCAAGTCTAGGTCGATTCCTCACATCTGTTGAGGGCATTGCATTAGCCATGCTTGGGCCGGCGCTGCTTTCGCCACCGGTAACCAAGGGAGACTGGAGCCTATTTTTCGAACGTGAGCCTCTGCCTAACTCATAAACGTGGACCTTGTTAACCCGGGCGACGTCCGAGCCGGTATCATACTTAGATCTGGTTAGTACCATGATAATTATCTACACAAAATGTGGGTGTGTGGTCACTCTTAGCTTCATTTCTCCCCATAGACCTTACTAGCATAGGTGTCCCTACCAGGAGCTTGTGGTCCAGCCTGCATTGCCCTATGGATCAGTAAAATTACTGGGCTCTCCCACCACGACCAAGTGGTGACAACGGGAGAGTTATTATTATTATTATTATTATTATTACTGTACAGTTTCAGTTAAATTCTTATACTATATAATCTTTTACTTTCATTTCATTTTATTAACTAATTTTTTTTTTTTTAATTTTAAAAACATAAGTTTCATTTCAATTCAATTACAATATAAATTTTAAAAATTATATTTTTATAGGTTTCACATTAATAATTTGATAAAATGAATGTAATAATTGAATACAATCGTCATATAATATCAAAAATTGGAAGAAAAGATAATTCATATATGGATTAACATTCTATATGGTCAATAAAAATATTTATGTATGAAATCTCTTCGTTATTTTCTTATTAAATATAAAATAATACTAATCCTAATTTTTATTTATATAAAATTACAGAATGCGATGCTAATAGATTTTGAAGCATTTCAAGTGAAAGAGCATGAAATTATTTTACAGACAAGTCGACCATAAAAGCATTACACTGTTCTGTAGAAGCTGTAATAGACATTTATATAGATTCTGTTAAAAAGTATCAATTATCGGCGAATGATCAATGCCAAGTCAATTTTACTAGCAAAAAAATTCATGAATTAAATTTTATAGACAAAAAACATCGAATATAACTGGCTGGATCAAACATAGTAATTTACAATACTTATTATTTCACAACACATAATGAATTATTTTTATTTAACAATGGACAGATAGAAAAAAAAAATGTTTTTAAAAACTAGAACTGCAATTATTTAGATATGAAACTTCTTGGGTGTTTAAGATTTGATAATATTAAAAAATTGTTTTTGCCGCAAATATTTTAAGAAACATTGTTCTTTTTGTGATATTTTATCTTACAAACAATTCTTAATTAAACAAAAAACAGATACAGTAGAACCTCGATTATCCGGACTAATTAGGAATGAAGGTAGTCCGGATAAGGAAAAATCCGGATAATCGAAACAGATACTTTAATTTGTCTTTTAATGATAATACAACACGTTTTCTTTTCGATGACATATCGGTAATATTAAAAATAAATACTGTATTTAAATCGTGATCAAATTTTCAAGAAACAAATGTT